TCAACTGTATTAGTAGCCAGACATGAAAAATGATTATAACTGAAACAAGAAAAATTAGTTCTCAGACAACCTTTATGGTGGTTTTCCTACCAGCTATAACATCATCACCAATGAATGACTAAACATTCAAAAGACAGACGAAAACATTGGTGAATTGTAGCTCTGACATGCACATGAGGGTTATAAATGACTGAAAAACAGCAGGGGTGAAGTATACTGATTGCAAGTGCCCAGTTTGTGATCACATCTCGGTTTTGATCTGTTGATATGTAATGTCAAATATTTGTTGCTAGAACGAGATGGACATATGATTGCTATTAGTATGACTATATGGCGAAGGCTTAAACGGAGCAGTGCTCATAATATCGAGCGAAAAAAAGAAAAAGACAACTGTGAAACATAACCTGCTTTGTATTTTTGTAGGACACACAGTTTAGATCTGTTTAGACTAAGAGGTGTGTGAGTTATTGCCGTCGGTCTATCACTAAATGTGTCAGGAATATCAAAACAAAACCAACTTAACTCCGCTCCCTTAGCACCCCTCACAGAGCTTGATCCACGCTGGCATTTCTCTTTTTGGGTTGTAGGTTTTTAAAAGAGAAAAAATTCCACCACCCCATCCAAACTTTTAGGATACCGGGTAAAATTTGCACAATCCATATGCACAACGCTTTGGCTTGTTTCCCTCTCTCGAAAGCTTGACAAACCTCATGCGCGTAGCTACCGTTGCTAAGCCACGATTGGTGTGTAGCGGTGTTTGGGTGTGGCTTAGCGAAGGGTCAATTGTGTGGATTAATAATGAGTGCGTGATGTTGTTATCATTTGTATATTTACTCAGCGCTCTGACAACTTCGAATGCCTCATTCACACTAGCAGCGACTTTGTAGCTGCCTTTCGCTCTGGGTGGCGACCTGCTGCAAACGCAGGTCTGTGTAGGTCTACAGCACAGAGAATAGGGTATATGCCGAAGCATGCTAATGGGACTTTTAATTTGCCAGTAACCAGAGTTGAGTGCTTTCGGCGAACTGTATACCAATGCAAAAACCGGCGCGTTTAAGGGTCTGTTTTCTTTAAAAATCAATCAATTAATTAATCTCCACTAGCTGAGTGATATCCGATATAAAGTAGGTCTCAGATTGTAAAAGAAGCACTGCATTAAATTACATTTTCCCCCACCATGTCTTTGTATTATGAGCATTTATTTAACCCCAGTATAGCTTCTGCGATAGCCTGCCAATTCTAAATGGTGCGTGCGAGTAAATGGCTTTTGTCTTGTTTTACGCTTGAGCAACTAAATGAATGCCAAAGTTTATTTAACTGAATGCTGTAAAGGGAACCGTATAAAATGGAAAAAAGTTCATAATAACAGGTCACCGGGGGTTTATCAGTATGGAAAAAACACTAGCTCGGCATATACCCTCTACAACCGGCCTCTGAGCGAGCTGAGAGAGGATCACATGAGCTCTGTTGGTGCTTCTATTGGCTGACGCTCAAGAAAGATGCTTTTTATTTGTATAAAGTTGAAGGATTCTTTATTGCGTCACTTGACACACCCACCCAGTCACCCAGTTGCTGTCACTCGTGTAGATTGAGGGTGCTTTCACACCTAGACTTTTGTTTCGGAACCTGTCTTGTTTGCCCAGTTGGCGTGGTTCATTTTGCATATGTGAATATATAATAATATATAGGCATATATACGGCTATATGAAGAGAGAATTATGTGTAGGGCGGGATGTCATTCCTACTGGTAATTGTGCGTTTCATGTAAAATACGAAAGTGAAAGCATGCTGAACTATTAACAAGACCTGTTTATCTGTTAGGAAAATTGACCGAACTTTGCCATGTGAAAGCGAACCGCACCAAGAACAAAGAGCAACAATATAACAATTTTAATCCCTGTTACGGAACAAATTAATTGATTCACAGGTGTGAAAGCACCCTGAGATCGAGGAAGTTGCTCACTCTTCGTTAAAATAATCGAATGCATGTCGCTTTGCCACTGCGAGTCACACCTACTGTGAATGAGGCTTTAACCGTGCTGGGCGTTTCTCTCTGTTTCGAGCTGAACCCAGTTGACCAATCACAACAGACTGGGTCATCTGACCAATCAGTGCAGATTAGCCTCGCACAAAGGAGGGGTTTGGGAACAAATGAATCGTTGAACGAATCATATGGGAGTCGTTGGGATAATTAGATAAAAATAAATGCATAATATAAGACAATGAAAGTGTTTTTTGACCTTGCATGCAGATTAGCCTGTTGTCGTTAACGATTTTTAATGCATAATATTTTCTCTTTAATAGTTAAAGGTATTTAAATTGCTCTTATTGTTTTTAGAATAAGCAAACATTGAGTAAGTACTGTAAATGCACTACTTATACTAAAAAATGGCATAGAATAGTGCTGTATATGTACAAGTATATAGGGCGAGGCAGTGGGGCAGTAGGTAGTGTTGTCGCCTCACAGCAAGAAGGTCGCTGGGTCGCCGGTTCGAACCTCGGCTCAGCTGGCGTTTCTGTGTAGAGTTTGCATGTTCTCCCTGCTTTCGCGTGGGTTTCCTCCGGGTGCTCCGGTTTCCCCTACAGTCCAAAGACATGCGGTACAGGTGAATTGGGTGGGCTAAATTGTCCGTAGTTTATGAGTGTGTGTGTGTGAATGTTTCCCAGAGATGGGTTGCGGTTGGAAGGGCATTCGCTGCGTGAAAACTTGCTGAATAAGTTGGCGGTTCCTTCCGCTGTGGCGACCCCAGATTAATAAAGGGACTAAGCCGACAAGAAAATGAATGAATGAATATAAAACAAAAGCAAGAGAGAAAAACGTTTCAATGTAAAACGCAAAACAGGTGTTTTGATTAAGTCTTGATAAAAAAGATTATTTTAGATAATGAAAGAATTTCAAAGAATTTTCAAAAAAGAACTTTAATCCAAAAATATTGAACAAAAGGTGAGCTACATTTTAAGCAGATGTTTCCAGGTATAAGACCAGGTATAAACGGCTAGACAGGAAATAAAATATATATTTATATTAGAATAATAAAATCATTTTATTATTATTTAATAAAATAGTTCTTTAACTTAATTTGTTAAGAAAGCTTTAGGGCAGGATATATAAAGATGATTATTTTTATTTTAAGTCTGTTTATTTGAGTTCATATTTATGTTATTCACTAAAATAGATCATTTAAATCGTTTGTGGAGTTGGGTGCAGTAAATAGTCTGTATAAAAAAGTTGTAAATAAACCTGTGGAAACAAGCCTGCCTTTATAACCAGATTATTTAACAAAAGATGATTACTGCAGTAAAATATTGATAGTCTTTTAATAAGCAAAATGTGTACAAGATAGAGTGGGGATGAAAAGTAAATTGTTTGTTTTGAAACTTTTGAATCGAAAGTTGTCCAATAATAAACCCGAAACACACGTGTTTATTGTCATGTGGTGAACTCAGCCAATCGTGTAATATCGGTGTCGTCATCAGAGCTCCTGCAGCCGCTCTTCAGATGCTGCACTGTCTGAAGCCGCCTTTTCACTGCATACGACAAACGACAGACCGGAAGTCATTCATCTCCAATGGAGAGCAGTCCAGGAGCTGCGTGGAGTTCCGATCATCTCCGTATGCGGAAAATTCGGATCCGAATTGAGCTGCGGATCCGTTGAAATATTTGAACTCCTGCTACTAGATTGTATGCGACCTGCCGACCGCATATGATGTATTGCAGTTTTGTCCAAGCAGATCGGTCTAAAAAGCAGAATCTAAAAAGTCTATATTAAAAAAAAACTTTTCTGTTCATAAATGTAAGTAAGAAAGTAATAAAAAATATATTTTAATGTTGTCTCCACATTCCCTCCAATATTTTAGCGGTCTATGAGTTTCTAGTATTCTTTCATTCATTAAACCATGTAAACGCAGAGAATAAAGGATCTTGCTTTTGCACTCCTTTATTTCGGACACGTGTCAATCAGTTTCTCCCCCACGGTGCACTAAAGCTGAAAATACTGTGCGGCTGCCACAAGGGGGGCGTATTCCGACAGTCGTGTTCAAATGTCGTGTGCAGTGGAAAGGCGGCTTGAGGTTGCCGTCTGATCTCGGAGCGCTGTCGCGGTACTTTGATGCAGCATCAATCCGGACAAGATTTCTAACCAGCATGCACCGCTTTAAGACAGATTTCGATCGATCTGCGCAGTGCTGCATGAAGTTGAGCGCACCTAGTATATAAGGTCAGCACAGACGACAGGTGACACCCGTGTGTCCAATGGTCCTACACTTGAAGCAGAAAACTGGTGTGTATGTGTTTCCCATGGGAAAATTTTGCAAATCAAATTTCTTCTTTTGTTTTGCACCACGACCTGTCCTTATTTCAGACTCGTCAAGTAAAAAAAAAAACGAAAAACAAACAAAAAACTTATGCAGCATCAACAATCTCAGATATGATGTAAAGAGCTATTTTTCCATTGCTTTTCTGAGTGCCACATGGAAAATACAGAGATTCAATGAGGGTTAAACAATGCACTTAAATAAATATAAACAAAGTCATAGTTTAGCTTTTAAATAAACAGATTTAATGTTTTTACATAAAAATTATGAAAATATGTGTGCACTGGCGATGTAGTAGGTAGTGCTGTCGCCTCACTGCAAGAAGATCGCTGGTTCAAGCCTCAGCTGGATCAGTTGGCATTTCTGTGCAGAGTTTGCATGTTCTCCATGCGTTCGCGTGGGTTTCCTCTGGGTGCTCTGGTTTCCCGCAGCTTAAACACATGTGGTACAGGAGAATTGGGTAGGCTAAATTGTTCATACTGTATGAGTGTGCATGAGTGTGTATGGATGTTCCCCAGAGATGGGTTGCAACTGGAAGGGCATCCGCTGTGTAAAATATGTGCTGGATTAGTTGGCAGTTCATTCTGCTGTGCCAACCCTGGATTAATAAAGACTAAGCTGAAAAGAAAATTAATATATGTGCACTTTAATATATAAGAATTGTGTTTGTGTAGCAAAGAGGCTTCTTTTAATGTACACATGGTTTTTAATCAAAACATAAGGTACAAAGATGAAGGAATGTCATACATCTTTCAATAAACAGTTTTACAGTGAGCATGTAAGCTTTGCTTCTCAGGAAAAAGTAAAAAAAGTAATACAACAAATCGTACAAAATTCTCCTTTTCAAAAAGCTTGTATTCACTTTCACAAAACTACCAATTAACTATAAATCCATACACAAAATCAACTCCTTGTACATCTGAACATTCTAACATTTTATTATAGGGGAAAATGAAATGCACCCATTAGGCTAAGCTGAGTTCAAACACATACATATAATAAAATAAAGTCATTAAGTCAGGTCAGGTACAAAAATGCAATATATTTGCTTCCCTTTGGTAGAAAGATTTTCCCCATTTATAACAAACAAAAACTCTTATTACTGCCTGCATTAAGGTGCAAGACAACCATTCAGTTTAAGGCTGATTGTAATGCCATCAATATGACCATTTTTACAATCAAATTTCATGGATTTTAACATCCATGGAACAGCTGTACGGCACTGAGAACTTCTTGGTCATAGAGCCGCTCTACTTTCACAGTTGTACTGTGTTCATGACAGATGCTAGCATCTTCCAGGTCCTCTGCCGTATCCCCAAATCCATGGTAGTGTCCATAATGTAGATGTTCACTGGAATCTGGAGAAAATGCATCCCATGCCGGTCGGTGAGACACACAGCTGCTTGGGCTGCCGCTGAGGTGCAGAGAGCCACACATGTCGATTCTTGGTTCAGCTGGAATGGTCTCAACCCCATTAAAAAAAGATTCATAGCATTGCCCGTTTGTGCTGAAGTTGTTGACAGTGAAACTGTTGTGATGCCCATGACCATTCCTCAAACCTGTGGCTATGGCTTCATCTGTCATTCAAAACAAGATACGTGTCAGAAACAGAACGATGAACAAATGTCTTGATCACACATCAACTTGGACCAGACCAGAGAAACTAAAATTGTACCAGAACACATTCGTTTTCTTTTCATTTTCATTGTGTGTATTTTTGCTCACACGACATTTCATTTTATACAAGATTCAAGAAATTATGCCTACTGCCTACTCTGCCAAATAGTCACAAGCTTTTTTCTTATTTTAATACCCTAAAACACCTAAGTGCAAATGTAATTCTTTAACTCAAATGAACTACAAACTGCCATTAAATAACCCAAAATGTCTTTCTAATTCAGATAAATAGATATTTCAGAGCCTCAAAACATAAGAATACACTAGCAAAGTTGTTCGCATTGACAGACTGCAGATTTCCCTCAAGAAACTTGGCCATCATAAATAAGCATAAGAGTTTGTCCATAGCCAGGGGCCAGGAACAGAAGTCATGGCTGTGGGGTCCAACATTTTTGGGTTGGGAGAGGGGATCCTCAATGAAACACTGTCTTCACGATGTTCAAGGTCAATAGACATTGGTGGAGAAGGTCCAGTCCCACCTGATTGTATTTCAGCAGTGGATTCCACATTCATACTCTCAAACTCTTCTCCAATTGCACTGTTTGTCTTCACTGAGGAATTCATTCCTGAAATGAAAAATTTAAATAATTATAGCCTAGATATAAATATATATATTTAAAAAAAAAAAACTTCAAAGCATACTTACTATCAGTTCTTGCTTTTTTAACATTGTTTGGCTCTGTGCCGTCAAAAAATCTTTTCCTATTAGCTGTCCCATTCAAAAGACTGCGACCCTGAATGTGTACGTGGTCAGTCCCATTATGTCCGAATCCATTTAGCTGATTTATATGGTTGTGAGCATTACAGAGGAGCTGAGCACAATCATGGAAGCCTTGAGCATGAGCCAAGTCAGCTGCAACTAAACCATTTGCATTCTTCAAGCTGCACAGTGAGTAAAAAAAAAGAAAGAAGACAAAACGAAAATTAGTTGGTCCTGGAATCATCTAATCAGCACTGTTTTAACACTTTTGGATAGCATTTAAAAGACTGAAAAGTTTTCCCATTTTGTTCTAGAAGCTAGTTTTAGGAAAGGCCCAGACAGATATTCAATTTCTGCATAAGTAAAAAATACTATTCTTGGGGGGAACAATAAATAAATAAAATTCTTGCCAATTTTTGCTAATACAAGTTGAAATGTTTTGTAAATAGTAGGGATTTAACCCTGGCATCCTGGCCAAATTTGCCCACTGGCCTCTGTCCATTATGGCTTTCTAACCATCCCCATATAATAATTAACTTCATCACTCTTCAGTCTCCTCCTCCACCAATCAGCTGATGTGCAGTCTGGCACAATTTGGCTGCCATCGCGTTATCTAGGATGATGCTGCACTCTGGTGGTGGATGAGGAGATTTTAGAAAAACACAATATAAACTGTAGGGATTATTATTTAAAATGTTAAAATTAGTATTATTAAACAGATAAAAAAATATATGCTAAAAGTTTAAACTAAAGAAATCTAATGTCTGATAATCTTTTAGCAATTTGGTTGCACACAAATGTTCTGTGACTTCCTTGAAGGTTTTCATGTTGAGAAAAGTTCAACAACAACAACAAAACAATATAATCTGGCAACTAGTGAAGACTGTTTTGAGTCCCACTTTGTAATAGGAGGCCTTAAGTATTATGTGCTTACATTTTAATTATTCATTTTGTGAAATGCACTTTTTGTTCTAAGAATGTATTAAATGCTTCCAAGTATGTCAGACTAAACCTCTAAAAGATGCAGTATGTAAGTTTGACATCCAGTGGTTGAACTAGATATTGCACTCCTGGATCAAAACACATGCAAGCGCAGGTTGCCAGATTGAGGACCGGAGCGAGTGATTTAAACAGTGTTCTAAATAAAAGCAACGGCGCCTGATAGGAATATTTTCCATATTAAAAAAGTTTGTGTCCTAACCAATACCTCGAATTAATATATTAGAAACGACTTTTATTTCTAACAGGCGAACAACAGAAAACTGGCATGGCATGTATTGCTAAATGCAACAGCAGACAGTTCACCTCAGATTATGTAAATAAAATAAACCATTTGAAATTTATGAAATGAACTTTAGACACAGATGAGTGATTCAGCGTGTACAATTAATAATGTTAAAAAGGGTTGTGTAACAAATGCATTATAAAACTTAACATTTTGTAAGTGAGTGCATATTCTGTGCTTCTTAATGGCTGTATTTTAATTTAATTTCTGTCGTGTTTCATCTGGTGGAAACAGCCAACTTGCTTATCACTGCGTATCTTATCACAAAGTGTGTTGTTAGGACACGCAGTTACAATGTAACCTGATCACCTAAGGTTTACGTTTCTAATATTTATATAATTTGCTAATTAATAACCTCATGTGGAACTGAATCTGCGTCTCATTTCAGAGTCTGCTACTGTGCACTGGAGGTCACATTTCGGTCACGTACGTATGCTTTAAGAATGAATGAATGAATGAAATACGGTATTTTCCAGCAAGGCAGCCCAGGGTGCTGAAAGATAATTGGCTGAACTGGCACTGGGCAGGTTAAAGTTAACGAAACAAAGACAGCTTTCCGGTACAGAAAACACATTTTCAAAGCAGAATATCTGAATTCAGCATTGTTTTTCCGATAAACATGTATGTTCACTTGGCATGTTTCTTAAATATCTAAAAACATAATATGGTATTATTATGCTTTAGAAGAGTCAAAAACTTACACACAGCACCTTTAACTATTGTGTAAAGATTTAAACAATATGTCAGTCAATGCCAGACAATTCCTACAGCTAGTAGCAAATGATTCCATTATACTGGATTTAAGAATAATGATATATAGAAGTATAAGTTACTTCAGTATCAAAGCAAAAACAGTAACTTTTTTTTGTGGTAGTACCACCTTAACTCAGTAACAATTTGAGAGAAGAGCTCATTTAAATGCATGTTCACATATTTATGCAGGTTCTCTCTGATAAGCTTTCATGTCCAATTTTAAACATTACTTACATTTTAATTAAAAGCATGGTTTAATATATATAATAAACAATAATCAAATAATCAAATCAAAATACCTACAGGGTATTTTTAATGCATTAATTAAATTGTAAAAAAACATTTAGGAATGTTCAATAGCACTTAGTCTCCAATGAGTCACTAAAATAGTAATTAGAAATTGTGAAGTTTCATGTAGGTTAGAAACATTAAATAACTATAATCACATTATTTGTTTCTAATTGTTAGCTTACATCTCACTTATTCAGTGAGGGATTGTATGATTTAATTAATAGTTTTCAACTCTTAAATCAATAATATTTAACACTGATCATAACATTTACATTAAAAGCAAATACATTTCAAATTTTGCCAAACTATATCATTAAAATGCATTACAAATAAAATCAACTACATGTATTTGATTAACCGTACATAATGACAGGGATATGCTAAACCCAATGCATAAACCCGAAAAATGTCAATAGAGGGTGTATTAGTTGAAATGTCAGTTCACCCCAAAGTAAAGATTCTGTCATCATTCACTCAACCACATGTCATTAACAAAATTCTAAAGACTTTGACAAAAAGTGAAGATTTGAATAAAATCTGAAAGAATTCTCTTAAGCATATATATTCATAACTTGGATATACTTATGAATTATATTATGTGTATAAAGCTCAACAATACCAGCTTGACAAGAATAAACCTAATTCGTTTTTGTGGAACGTTAAAGTACTGAAAAGACACACATGAATGTACTCCACATTGGTACTCTCACATCATAGGTTGAAACTTAACGAATCTCTCAATTTGCACACCCAAACACTGATCTGTTATCTGTACTTGTTGACATACTTGTGTTGCTCTTAAAGAGCATGCTCTCCCTCATTTGGGTCTGTGTCAGAAACACGCGAGCACCATTTGCGATCTGCCGTGTTGATGACACAAATAAATGTCATGGATGTCATGTTAATTCCTGAGATCTATATCACTTTCTGTGATAAAATACACTTCATCCAATACATTTTCAATGGTCTCTGTGTACTATAGTCTTTACTGTAAACGCTCTATGAGCTTCGCTGCTGTTTGGAGTGCATTGTAAACAAATAAGATATACATTTTACCAGTGTTGGAGGTTATTACTAGACTCTATGGTTCAGCAGATCACCAGAATGTATTTTCTTCAAATACTGTTTTCGGGTAAGTTTTCTGATCCTGATGTAGGCTGTATGTCCTAAAGTTTCTGGCCACGGCACACAGTGGGGATGCCGTGAATAAATGTACAGAGAAGAAAACTGACACAGACACATCACAGATTTAAAAGAAGGTGGAAAAAGTCTGGGGTATCATCAGAAGCATCATAACCAGTATTTGTTTGTTCTTTAGCAAAATATCAATTTCATTTTGTCTCATTTAAATGCGCTGTGGTTGTGAGAGTTACCGTATCAGACATAAATATGGCAGCGAGCAATTTGGTCCCCATGAATAGCAAAATATGTACCAAAAGTTAAAGTGTGAGGATATGCACATGTACTGCCAAAGCAAAGAGGTTGTGAGTGCCGACTTATGGTTGTACACAGGACTTGACATTAACGCCCACCAAATGCGGGTAGATTTGAGCTGTGGGTGGGTGGGTTAGACAGCTGCTCACACTTGCCACCTTGGCTAGTTGAAAATAATTACATTTTTTTTTTTGTTGTTAAAATAAAAAAATCTAAAATTGCCCGGTTTTTGTTACAATATCATTATGTAACTTTTAATTATCTATTCTTACAAATGTGTGTTTCAAGTTTAAATTATATGACAGCTTTCATTTTGGGGTGAACACCATTTAATATCATTTGGCATTGAAAGAGATATTTGAATATATAGAAGCAGGTTTTAATACATTCTTTGTATTGTTATATTCAAAATACCTTATTTTTTTAAAGCTTAAAGAGATAGATCACCCAAAATTAAAATTCAGTCAGCCTTTACTCATCCTCTAGTTGTTTCAAATCTTTTTGAGATTCTTTCATCTGTTGAACGGAAGGAAGATATACAAAAGAATGATGTGGAAAAAACTGCCATTGACATGACTTTTCCAACATTCTTCAGAATATTTTGTTGCATGTTCAACAGATAACAAATACATTAACAAGAGTTAAGAACCACTAAATGCGAATAAATGGTAAGAAACGTAATGTCTGGGTGAATATCCCTTTATTTTCAAACTCATTACTGCTTAATAACCATTTGTTTATGAGCCTCCCCCCTTATTCTTGTTAGTTGAGAAATTAACTGCAGAATACGTATCAAAACATTGCTGTCTAGACAAAGCATGCAGGTCTAAATGCTATCATGACCGTTCTGCTACAATCAAAACCAATCACCACATGAAATACCTCGACAGATTGCCAGTGCGTAGATACTGAAGGAAGCGATAGTGTGAACGCTCATTGTAAGGGTGTTTCGTTGAAGGTTGCTGTTTTTGGAATGCTTCCCTCCCTTTTCTGGGCTTTACATGAGAAAAATCAAGTGATGTTCAAATTCAACCGCTGCAAAACATTGAGATATGTAGGGATTTTCCTTCTCTGTAACAGTTCACAATGGATCTTCATTAAGTTTTTCTAAACATGCTGCTTTCATCTGAAAGCTCACAGATTATTAAAAAAAATGAAGGTGATGATCTATGATGCATAAAAACAAGCAGGCATTCAGTGTAGAGACATCTTTGCTTGTCCTGCCCTACATTAAGTTTTCCTTAAAACAATCTTTCTTAGCGACAGATTTTTCCAAATATCTAAAACATCATGGCTTTTATATTACAGTCACATATGATATAACTAAGGCTGTCAAAGATTAAGAAGATTTTTTAAAAATGTAACATTAAAATGAATGTTTTTCTCAATTTGATAGCATTCAGCTTTTCCTGTATAGCC